CAGAGGACAGACAGAAAAACCTAAGCAACTTAAATGAATCCAGACACACCAATAAAGCTAGAAAACAATGAAAAACCTGGCTAAACTTGAAACTAAAAACCTAAAGAAAAACAACAGAACCAAGATCGTTACATTCCATCAGCAAATCATCTTATTTACATACTCAAATTAAGGGTGAATACACTTAATTTAAGAAATATTTACTTATTTCCAGATAGTTTTTGCAGTGAAGCGGGACAAATGGTCAGACTTTACATCAGGAGCTACATGGTGAGTGTGAGAGATTTAGAAATAAATGATAGCAATCACTTTCAATTGCACATCTGCTGAGCAGGACATTAAACCAGGTTTGGATGCGACCAAAGAAACCAACGAGAAGCAAAGAAAACCAGGGAGCTTGAATACCAATGAGAGGTACACAATGACAGTAAAACTGGGCGAGTTAAATCCGAGGGTCACAGTTTAAATGCCACCTTTGATAAACAGTTTTTCTTTTCTTTTTACTTTAGACCTTAATATTTTAGCATGAGTGTTCATTCTTTAGCCTAACTTGCCATAAAGCTATCAAACCCTGACAGTGTCATTACAAATGGGCAGATACTTTTAAATAGGGAAATAGAGGAAAATATATAAATGAAGCTTGTTATAAAATATTTGTCAGGGTTAGGATTATTAACATTTTATCACATCTTAACCGTAGTTTTCAGGAGTCAAGGATATAAATACAACCTCACAAAAAACTTTGCAGCCATGTATTTTGGATTTTCTTTCTTCATAGAACTTGTTTAAGTAGACACTGCATTGACTGTAGCAGTAACCTGCATACTGACTAGATGTATTGAGCATCGATAGATATGGGATTTTAAATGTAATTTTAGGAATAATGAGTCAGGATGGCAATTGTTTAATTATAATATATCATATTGTTAATAATCAGGTTAAATTATAGTTTAAATAGATTGAATTTAAAAATAATTGAGGTTAAAATGTTTTAGTTACTTAAGAAAACACTCTTAATAAAAATGTATTTCTTTGCAAATTTAAAATGTGAAGACATTAAATATCTGTTTGTATTTTAAAATGGTTGATTGACATATTATAAAAATGATCAACCCAGAAAAAATTAATTAAAAATATTACAGAAACTTTACCTGTTTTATCTGTATTATAACTGAGCTGAACATAAAACAGTATATGGAGGCTTAAAAAATCTTTAGCTCTATAAATAAATCATTAATGATTACCAATGTGTGTCATTTCACTTTGTAACTGGCAATGTATATAAAAATTCAACTATATTCAAATTAAAACAGTTTTTAACCCACCTTTTTGTTTTGGTTTTATGCACCTAGCAAGACTGTGGGCTTTACTTTATTTTATCATTTTATTCCTTTTATATTCTACCCAATTGTGTTGCTTTGATTATGTGAATGCCACTTTTACCCAAGTTTTAGCCATTTTGTCTTTTTATATATTTATTTATAAAACTTTTATTTTTATGTACAGCACTTTAATCAGCTGTGGTTGTTTTATAAGTGCTTAACAAATAAAACTGGATTGGATTAATTTATTTTAATAGAGGAAAAACACTTTCATAAGGTTTTAACTTTTAATGCCACTTAAACTTTAGGCAAATAATTTAATAATATACTATATAAGTGGGAAAACTGAGTGATATTTGATAAAGATTTCCCTTTATCATCTCTTCTAATTATTTTAAATCATGACAAATATCTAATTAATACATTAATTGTTTTTTTGGGTTGTAAGAAAAACTGGCTGTCTATTGAAAGGTAAGGAATCCTCATCCTGGATTCTCCCTCAAGAGGGCAGTGTTAGAATATGAGTCTCTTATTCAGTCCTCATCACTTCAGAGGAACTATCAGATAATGCCAGGAAATATCAGTCCGCATTCCAAGCAGAAATCCAGATTATTGAATAAAATGAGTTCAGGCCTTGTAAACAACTCATGTTGATGTGTTGTAGGAGTTGATTATGACCACATTAAAACAACAAGGGCCTGATGGGACTTTTTGGAGCTGAGCGTTTCTTATTAGATATAATGGGTCTGTTGAGAGTTGTGATGAGGTGAAATTATTAAGGCAGGAGATGAAGGATTCATTTGTGTAATTATATTATAAAAAAAAGGTGAAGGGTGAGGGGTTTGGGGGGGGTGTTGCAGGTTTGGAAAGACTGCTGTTGAGATAAAGTCCCAATTAAACCACGTTTCTGAAATGCTTTCTGAGACACGTAATGCACAGGGAAGCGCTAAGATGCATTGGAGCTGTGAACTCCAACAACAACAGAGATGTTCCACTTTACAGATCCTCATCCATCTTTTTTTTTTTCTTTCGCGTTTATTTTTCATTTGCACTTTTCTCATCTTTCATGACCTCTAACTTTCCCAAATTTCCTCACCTCTACTTCCCTCTCATCTGTTCCTTTGCGCACTCACCCAGGCCTCCTCCTCCTCCTTCTCCCCCCCCCTCCTCCTCCTCCCTCGTGAATGAATCGCCCAGGATCAACCCCTCCCACCCAGAGTAAGCTTTAATTGTCAGCCCCGGACGAGAACTTGAGTAAAAAGCTCCAAAAACGCGTGCGCATCTCACACTCTGGAGGCTGGAAGTGACCAACCTGGACCATTGCGCATCACATCGGCGCGCGTGTGTGTGTGTTTCTGTGTGAGCAGGTGTGTGCATGAGTAGTTTAAATAGTTATTTCTAAGGAGGTTTGCCCGTCTGGTTTGATTTATTTCTACCCGAGCTGCAATGCAGGTGTCTGTGGCCCTCATCGTCTCCAGTTCGGCGCTCCTGCTGCTGCGGCTGCAGGGATGCTGCGCGGCTGCAAAGGGCTGGAAGGAAATAAAGAACGATGCAACGGAGACTTTACCGAACCGCAGGGAAAATATGCGGCCACCCCACGAGGCGATCCTGCAGACCTCTAACAACAACAACAATAACAACAACAACAACAACAACAACACACTAAACAACAGGGCAAAAAACGGAGGAAGAAGTTCAACTTCAAACACTGTTTCTTACAGTAGGTATTATCTTTAACAAGTTTGAATATATATATATATATATATATATATATATATATATATATATATATATATATATATATATTCTTCAATAGAGAAAAAAATGCATGAGTATACAAGTAGATGGTTGCAGATATTTTCTAAGACTTTTATTCAAAATTTACAATGAATCATAACTTTAATGATTTTATTTGATTTTATACTCTTTAATTTCACCTAAAAAGCAGAGTTCAGGGGTCAGATGTCAATTCAGTCTTTCTGATGAACCTACCCATTCAGATTCAGAGCTATAGCAGAATTCAGGCATATTATAATTCTGTTATATCAAATCTAGCAAACTAACAAGTAAATAGGAAATAATAAACAATTGAAGTGCTTAAAGCTCAACTAAACATTTGTTAAATATTTTTCATATCCATCGTGCATGTAATATTCACAGGTATAAGTGGCATTTAAAGGTTTCTGTCTTCTGTAAATTTTGCGGCTCCAACAAAGAAACTCAAACCACATTAAATGCATGAATAGTTCTGAAAGGTCCAAATCTGGAAAAAAAAAAGCGCCTTCTCAAGCTGAGTGGGATCTGTTCCTCTCTCCTCAGCTCTGCCTCACTTTCTCACCAGCTTACTGATTAGCAGCACTGTGGTGTGTGTGTGTGTGTTGTGTGTGTAAGTGTCAGCGTGTTTGTGTTAAAAAACCCAAGGATGAATGTGATGAGAGTGGTTCAAACCCACATTCTTGTGGTTTCTTCTCTCCACGCAGCCTGAAACCGAGCATTCACAAAGACATCATCGCCTTTTTTCACATTGTCTTCCAGGTAGTTTCCGCCTCTCCTTATAGTATTAGTCAAGCTCTACTTGCTCCATGACCGTTTGATTGCATCAACATGTTCCCTAAATAGGGAAAACACAAAAGTTTGTTCTGCAGCGGGGCATGTCTTTGTGAAGGGGAGGTTTAGAAATTGCTTTATAAACGTAGCGCTGCTTTTGGGAATGGTTCCCACCTGTGGTTAGGAGACGCTGTATGTTGTGATAGAGGGATTGGAGATTCAAGCTGGGTGGTGCAACAGTTGTTGCCTGATCAAGGCCTCTGAATAGGAGCTCAGAGGAGGTGAATGATTAGATTAGAATAATAAGAAATTGAGGTCAATTTGCTTAAGTGAGTCTTCTCTTTGAAGAGGAAAAATAGCAATAAAGACAGCAAAATTCAAAGACTTTTTTATTTCTCATTCTCTCCAAAATTAACAATCTTTTGTTGTTACTTTATTTTTCTAATATGCAACAAAAATCAAGGATCTCAGAGGAGAAAAGCAAACACGCTGGATCACTTTTCTCATTCGACTCTAGAGTTAAGTCCTGGGATGACTTCTTATGTTTCGTTTAGGGTCATGGCAGAAGGTTTGACTGCTGGCTGGCTTCTCTCCAAATCTCTTTATAAGATAAACTCACTCAGGATGTATGGGCTAATATATGACTTTGTTTAACATTATCTGAGTGCATATTTTGAAGCACAAAAGCAATAGTAATCATTACAAGTGTTAATCTAATGTACAATAAAGAGAACAATACTGTCTGTAAAATGTTCACAGACTGTGACATAGGGACTTAAGAAAAACCCAAGCTCAATTACTTGTAGTTTACTGGAGCTCTTTCCACAGAATATTTCATTTTTCATTTCCTCTGCTCTTTAGAATAACACCTTTCTTAATGAGTCAACAATAGAGATTGCTGATATTCACTTTAATCTTTATCTGAACATTTAGTGTTTAATTTAGTAACAAAGAAAGAAGGTTAAAAGCAGGGAAATGTCATCACTTTTTTTGGCATAGAACAGTCGCAGCCTCAAAAACAAGAATCCTTTCAAATGAAACTTACGAATTATCATAGATAAGAAAATCAGTTACATGAATTATTGTATTATTTGTTCACATAGACTGAGTAACGTCTCAAAGCAAACTGTCAGTTTTAGAGGTTTTTAAACATCATCAAATAGTGTTAACTGCTAAAGCTGTAAATCACCATCTCATTAAAATGACTGTAAACTCTGGGAATCATTTCAATGCACCTTGTTGTGCCATCCTATTTGTAAAAGTGGAACATTAAAGAAACATGAAGACCTAAACTGGAAGGAGCGCAGATCTGATTAACAATCTGATAGTTTTTTTTAGGGGGGAGTTTAATGCAAACGAATGCAGCTTTGATGCTTCAGGCACGATATACGAGCAGCAGTATCACTGGATCAGATTTTTAGGGTGAGAAAAAAAAATCTGAAGTCCTTTGTTGATCCTGTTTTCTAAAGAAAGCCACAGAGGCGAACAGATCCCTCTGTGAGTGTATCACTCCTGTATTTACTGTTCTTCTACTTGTAAAGAAATACGGGTCAGCGACTCGTGCGTGCGGCCGTTGTAAAAGCTGAGGCTCAATTATAGGATTACATGTTGAATGCGCTGTCATAGATCACCCTGGCTGATTTTCACTTTATTGAAAACTGTAGAGTGCTTTTTCAGTATTGCTTTAAAAGAACCAGACAACTGTTTATTCCTCCAGAGCTGTATGTTTACTGAGGGTGAACAAAATCTCAATGCCTTTTTTGTTTCTGTCTTCCAGACCTGCGTTTGGTTCGATTCTGCTTTTTTAATGGGCCTCTGGTCTGGATTTGCTATCAGTTTATTGCTGCCAGCTGTTTTTTTTTTTTGTCAGGCGCTGTTGTCAGCTAATGATCAGGCCATGAGTCACTGCTCCAAATCTGTTAAAACTAAAACATCCATCTAATAGTTCTAGTTGCTCTTTTATAGTCTAAAAGTTGCTTTTTTTTTCAGATGTTTAATTAAGTTGTTAAGTTTAAATTAAACTATATTAATTAGTAATGATATTAGTAATAGCTGGTCTTATTACCTCCCAAAAATGTACCTGACAAATTAATATAACTAAAGCTCCCATTCAATGAACTTTATCAAAAGGACCTAAATACTTGCTGGATGCATAATTCAAAATACAAACACTTAAGTCAAGAAGAAAATGATCCAAGGACAATAACCAATGTATTTACAGACTAATATCATTTTATATATATAATAAGATTTTATTTCTAAAGATTTAACTGGATGGGGAAAAAAAGAGCAACAATTATATCAGTATAATATATCGGGGGTTGGGTGTCACTGCCAAGAAGTCTGAGTTTCAACATGTAATGTTAATTTGAGGAAGAGTTTGGGAGGAATTCAGTAGTTTCCAAACCATCTTTGGACTGTCTGCTTCTCAAACCAATACAACCCAAAAATAACACGAAAGAGTCAGTCTTCTTTTTGGACTGTTTACTTTTTCAGAATCAACTTGCCTTTCCGCTCCAGGGTTCCATCTCTTCAGTCCCACTGTCAGGCTCGGCTCCAGCATTCATTGTCTCTGGCTAAAAGGTCACTTGGTGCAAAGAACAATGCTGCTTCTAGCTTAATTTTCTGAGTAGTTCTTCTTTGTTTCAGATGATATGACATAAAACCATGAATCATGCAGGTATTAAGATAATTAGATAAATTCAGCTAAGCATAGAACATTTAACATCAGGATTCAGATCAAGCCAGGTTCTGTCTTGGCGTGGAAGGCATTTTGTAGCTCCTTCCTGTATGAGTTGTAGAACCCAGCAGGTCTTTTTCTGGCAGCAGTCACCTAAAGGAGCATATCAGCCAATCAGCAACTGACTTGTAAAAAACATGTTGTGGTAGAAAGCGGAAAAAGAAATACGGATTCTATAATCTAATACTACCAGATAATTTAAACTCATTATATTAAAAACAAACTACACCCTAAAAACAGATTGTCAATGAATTTTATCAATGTGGTTGGTAGTTTTGTGTCCAACCAATCCAATTTGATAGTGTTTTTAACCAATCCATATTGGTAAAGGGGAAAACCAATGCAAATTATTCACTTTGACTAAAATATTGATTAATTAGTGTAATAAAATTGAAATCCAGGACCTGGGTTTAAAACATTAATCCTTCAGTTGCAAGGAAAACTCCTGTATCCATTGTATCCTGTATCCTGCATTGCTCATTTGAATCTACTCTAACTTAATACTTATATTACAACATAGGCTATCTGTATTTTGTATTTTCATCTCTTTTTATTAATTTTTTTGTATTATTTGTAAAGTGACCTTGAGTGTCAAGAAAGGCGCTGTTAAATAAAATGTATTATTATTATTATTATTATTATTAAAGCCAAGATTTGCATGCTGTACACGTACACATCATTATAAATGTCAAATAGGCCCATAACTATAACACTCTAAACATCACTACAGCCAAACATTCAGTTACCATTTTTACTGGTTGTTTGGTTAACCAATTGGTAGATCAAAAACCAATGGCTTGGTCAGTTTCTGACCAATATATTGGTTAATCTAACCAAAATTGGTTTAACCAAATAGATTGGTTGTTTTTTCTAACCAATCCATTTTAGAGTGCATATTTAAATATATTTAAAAAAATGTTTTCAATTTGGAGCCTGGAGCAAGTTTCACATTCTAGGTTTTAAACATCTGATCATTTTTATCAGATAAAGACAAGAAGGTTCTTACTAAGAGGTTAATGTTTGTTGCCATTTAAATAAAAGAAATTGTGGTCGTAAGAACATATTCACCGAATTGTGGAATGTAGGATTTATCGGGAAAAGCTGTTTGATTAAAAGTCTGCTAATCATTATGTTAGCTTAAAGGTGCCACAGTATATGTATGATTCGCTGGGTTAACATTACTAGTGTCGCTATGACTAGAAAAGGGCATGCAAGTTTAGGTCATCTATTAGTTTGATTGAGTAAAATAAGATATTTGCCTTTCTAAAAAACAATAATAAAAGTTTTAATGATTTTAATTTAGGAGGTCTTGATGATTTTAAGGACCGTTTCAATACACTTCAGGTCAGATTTACGGATTTGTTCACTACATTTAATGATTGGAAAGGGTTGCTCCAATCAATATTTTATTTAACTTTGCACTTGATACTTTGATGGAGGCATGTGTCATTTTTTGTGGTTGTGTCGGCTCCGGTTCTAACTGTGGCACTTTTTCCACTAAGATCCCTCCGAGATGAGCTGCAGGGAGCTGCGTTCCACCCGCTACATCACCGACGGATCCTGCCGCAGCGCTAAGCCCATCCGGGAGCTGCTGTGCTCAGGCCAGTGCCTACCCGCCCACCTGATGCCTAACTCCATCGTTCGTGGAAAGTGGTGGAGAAACAGTGCGGCAGACTACCGTTGCATCCCGGCGCACTCCAGGACACGAAGGGTCCAGCTGCAGTGCCCCAACGGCAACACTCGGACTTACAAAATCCGAGTGGTCACCTCCTGCAAATGCAAGCGTTTTAGGCCCCACCACAACCAGTCGGTTGCCAAGGAAGTGCCGAAAAGACAACTCAGCAGGAAGCATAGCCGCTTGTCACAGGATCGGAGCAGTAACAACACACCACTGGTGGACAATTCATATTAAATCAGCCAAGGACTGAGACTGAACACGCATACATGTTACTCATAAACCAACATATCTCCTTCATACAGAGAAGGGATGCAAGAGAAAGACAGAGATTTCATAAGCTAATTTCTTTGCATGAAGAAATGGATCAGCTCCAGTAGTGATTGGTTAGGAGGGGACCTGTCAGGTCTTCCTTTTAAACAAAGTTTGTGTAAAGATAATAAGAAAACTTCCTAAAATCTTCCATCCCCATCTGTACAAATATCAAGCAGATGCTGAACCTCACTCTGTCTTAAGCTCCAAAGGTGCATCTTCTCTCCAGAGTGATGGTAATCCATCTTCTTTAGTGTTTGGGACGTCAACGTGATTTTAAGAGGCTCCCAGAAAAGATGATTCCAGACAGACAGCCAATCACAGCGGCTCTTTTCTCAAATTAGAAACGCAGTCAAAGGAGGCAAAGAAACGAAAGTTAATCACCGATCTGAAACTAAGGGGGATGGGCAATAGGCATTCCTGTGACTCCCCATAATTAGCTCATTCCTGTGTTAGGATTGAGTGGTACAGAGCAATTTCCTTTTAAAAAAATCATGACTTCCTGTTTGCAGAGGTCACGCAGAGAGAAAGTGCCCATAGTGTTTACGAGGCATCAGAAACCATTAGGGGCAGAGCTCTCTCTCTCTGTCGCACCCAAACTAGAATTGTGTTGCAGCAGGCCAAGCTGAGCAGAAATCTGTTTCTTGTACTAGTCAGCAAGATTTAAAACCCCATCCTCTCTGTAAATAATCCAGGCAGGAACATTCAAAGACTATGAGAATCTCAATGAATTAATTTCTCCAAGGAAGCAGCGATGCCAGGCGTGTATCGATTTGAAGTGAACTTTTGTCATCTCTGCAATGTTTCTTTCTCCCTTAAATTTCTTAATGATTACGAAAGTGTGCTGCATTTTTTTTCTCTGAAAAATCCATTGAAGAAGCAACTGGCAAGAGGTTTAGCATGACTGTACATATCAAACCTGCACGCGCCTCGCAGGAGCAAAGGGAGGAGACCCAAAGAAGGACTCTTAAAAAGAATGAACTGCATATTTATTTTTTATGACCACATTTAAATTATTTATACAACCTTTTGTAGCAACTGATAGTCATTATTGTCATATAGTGTGATTGAGAAAATAAAAGATTATACAGTACATGAATAAAAGTAAAGGCAGATGTATTTGAACAAAATGGCCTGGTTGGTATTTATTTGTGTTATAAGCAGGAAATTACTATTGTAAGCTTTTATGTAGTTTATTGCAAGGATGATAGAATTTTATGTGGATATCAGACGCACATTATCTTTATACAAAGAATGACATTTATTTCAAAGACTTATGTTTAAAAGAATATAAAAGTAGGATATGAGTGGTTAATGTAGAAACACTATCATAAATTAGACTATCCCTGAAAAAAGTGAGAAATGATGTTTACTTCTTTATACACAGCATATTTCAAGTACTTATTTCTGTTAAATTTGATCAATTTGGAGAATATTTGATTAGAGGATAAAACGGAATTACCTGAGAAATTAAAATATGTCCTAGGGGACATCATGGGGAAGATCTTTTTTAATTGATATTCAAACATTCAAGCTGCATCCCAACACATTATGGAAAGCTAAGTAAAAGAGAAAAGTAAAATTAAAAAAGTACAATTGCTAATACTTAGCTAATAACTTTCCAGTTTTTTATTTATTCATCAGAATATATTTGGTAAGGGTTGTACTAGATGTTACCAGTGTTTAATGTGTTCATGATCCAGCTATGAATCTTTCTGCATTCAGTTCACTTTATTTATGGATACATCTTAAGACTATTTCAAAAATAAGAGTGTAAGGTTGATGGTCTTTCCATATTGCGCTTAGCATGAGTGTGCATTGTGGTTTGTCCTGCGTATAGCAGATGCAGATAGCCACAAGCAGGGGCGGATTTAGGAAATTTGGGGCCCTAGGCAAAGACAGGCATGGGGCCCTCTGAATTGAGAAGACAACATATAGAACAGACCCATTATACAGATACAGAAATTTTTAATAGAATAGACTTAGATTATTTGTTCTACCTTTTGTCCCTCTCTTCTTATCCTTTTTCTTGTGGTTTTCTTCTGTGTTCTTTAGTCCCTTTCTCTAGTAGTCTAGGCAAAGGCAGGCATGGGGCCATCTGAAATGAGAAAACAACACACAAAACAACAGGGCAATTATACAAATTGACATTTTAGGAGAATAAACATGCATTGCTTTACCTTTTATCCATCTCTTCCTGTCCTTTTTTCATGTTGTCTGTTTCATTTTACTCTCTTTTTTTCTTTTGTTTTATTGTCTTCCTGTCTTTTTCTCAGTCTGAATCTCTCTCCCTTTTGTCCTTGTCTTTTTTTCTTATTCTTTTTTTTCTTTTACTCATAATTCTCCTTGTTGCCCCCTTTTCTCTTCCTGTCCCCTTTTCTTGTTGTTTTCCTCTTAATGTTTTGTCCCTTTTTCCTAGTAGTTGTATTCTCTTTCTCCCTAAAATTTCATTTTTCGAGCCTTGGACTCAGCAAATCTTGCAATGAGAAGATCCATATCCACTGACTTCCTGCTCAATGGAGAGTGGACACTGTAGGGGGGGCCCCGGGACACACTTAATATTATAAGCATTCTAATGGCATTTTAGCTAAAGGATTTTTATCAAAAACATAATTAATGTGCACAAATAAGTAATAGCTGTATTAACCATACATGTAAAAGGAGTTTTAGGGGGCCCCCCAGGAACTTGGGGCCCTAGGCAACTGCCTAGTTTTGCCTAATGGTAAATCCGCCCCTGGCCACAAGCCCCTCATGACTCTGTGTAGACATAGACAATAGATGGGTGTATTTTGAGGTGCTATTATTCCCCCATTACACACAGAACGATATATACTAGGTGCTCCTTAATACAAGAGGGAAATTATTTGAAAATATAAAATTCACAATGAAGGTTCGCTACAAAATCTAGTTACTAAACGAGGTGTTTTTCAGTGTTGTATTCAATATCATCAATATATGGGGGTTAATTGAAAGAAAAAAAGTGTGGAGAAACAAAAGTGCACAAGCAACACAGATGACCAGAGACCCTAAAGGGATGTGAAACAAAGCTCAATCTAGGGTTAGCAGATTGAAGCACCATAATCTTAAAGCCACTATTAAAGCAATCCAGGGTTTCTTAACACATTAAGTGTGTGATAAGCTCATCATCTGTATGGATTGATGCATTAGAAGAGTCTCAGGGAAGTACCCGGTACATAGAATATATTTAATTAATTGCTTTAATTCATTCTCATGATCAGTCACCATGTAACTATTTCATATAAAGTTTCATATTTTACATGGAATAGCTGTAATAACTACACTTTATGATCATACTTAATTGCCACATATAGCTAAAACATTTTTTTAACCACTACATCTTTATAAGAATTAAATGAGTTCAGCTATATCATTGCAGCCGATCCTGTGCAGAGAAATTCAAACGCTCCATTGTGGCTTTGCATTAAAACCAGCATTCCTCATTGTGACATCTCAGTCCGAGCTCAGACATTTCTTCATTCGTGGTGAATATACCCATCATTCCACATCATTTCTCTCTGCCTTTCATCCCTGGGGCTTTCTCCTTTATACACACTGAGTTTTAGAGAAGTGAGCTTTGTTGAAGCTGGTTATATCCAGAGCCAACTTTCAGACTTTGCAAACCTTGAAACTTTGGTATTATGTTCAGGCATAAAATGAAGTGTCCTTCCCAGCCAAGTGAGAATTCAAATATTACACAGAAAGTCACTGTGGTGAATGTAACAGAGTTTATCCTTTGCTGTGCCAATGCAGAAAGGCGGATATTACATTTCTCTACATCATCCATTATGTGCATTCATTATGTTATGTTTAAGTTGTGTTTTCCAAGTGAGCACTGACCTCTCAGCTTTCAATAAGTCAACTAACATGGGACAAGCAGACTGAGAAATTCAATAACATTTCCGTAAGAACACTGCATGTCTTGTGCCTGTGTGTATTGATGCCGTCACATGTTAAATTTGGAAACCTGCAGATGACCCTTGCAGAGTTGGGTCAGGCCGGATCCTCTCCAAAAAAAAAGAAAGTTCACAGCACTTCGTATAGGCCCTGATGCAAGTGACAACGTTTACTTCCAAAATACCAGGTGCAGAGGTCCCAGAGGGTTCTTCCTCTGTTGCAAGGCCAGGAACTTGAGCTCAGCCCTAACGGTTCACGAACAGTACCTCTGTTAAATCATGGCCCCTTGGAAGAATATTTATAGATCTGATGTACTGGCTTTAGCAAATAATTGCTGACTTTTTTTTTCAACTTTTGGGCAAGAGAAGTAACAAGAGAGTGCAGTGGGGGGAAAGAAAATCCAGTAAAATCTGCTTTTCTTCTGCATGAAGACTTCTAGCTTAGCTTTAAACCAATAATTTGGATAATTACAGCTGTATCCTTCTTTAACAATAAAGTAAAAGATTATTCTCCTAAATTTTTGCCATGGTTTCCTCTTTTCGACATTGAGATGGAAAAAATATCCACACTTAAGGTGCATTTATTATTTGCACCTGCTTAACTGTTTGTAACCTAAAAAGCAAACTTTATAAATTAAGCATTTAGATGAAAGAAAGATGGACTCTTGATTCAGTGGCTTTGAAAGTGGAATGGCTCTCAATGCTAAATGAGATGGTTCCGTGTTTCCAAAACAGTTGTTCTTCTGGGTTTTTATGGAAAACCATCACTTTGGTTGACAAAGAATGGTCCGAAAAGGAAATATTTACAAAGTGACAACCATGTGAATGAAAACACCTTACTAATTTCAGAAGTCAGGGGAGAATAGACAGACTGGTCCAAGATAGTGAAAAGGAAACCACCAAAAAAGCAACTTGGGAAGGAAAAAGAAGGTTTAATCTGATACCAGTAACGTGTGCCTTATTAAAATGACTTATTTCTGTTGTTCTTTGGGTTGAGCTTGCTTCTTGTTTATCCCAAAAAGCTATAAAGAAAAACAGAATGGTTTGAACGCCGCCAAAAGGCCTAACTCATATATAGCCAAATGCATACGAGAGATGGTCAAATAAAAAGAACTGTAAATCATCTGCAAATACAGAAATTCTTGACAGATGCTTGTTTTTGCCAATGGAATCAAACTCTGAACGGCACCAGTGGAAACCTTAGCGGTGATATGCAAAGCAAGAAAAAAAGGTCTGTCACACATCAGCAACATGACCATATAAATGTCCTTCAAAGTGTTGGGTTTTTGGTCTGCTGCCTGGGTAGTTAAATGTGTTAGAATGCTACAGATGTTTATGGAGACAGAACATACAATAAGAACTATACAAAATTTTGCAACCAGCCATGATATCTCTATGCTTTGAGCCAGATTCTTCTGGAGGTCTTTCAAAATGTTTTCTTTGAAGTTAGGCTTTCTTAACAATGGCATTTCTATGTAGAAGCCCACCAATCACTGATAAAGAACTTTGAAAGACATTCAACAGTCAGATAATTAACCAATCAAGCCCGCTTAAAGAGATCAGAGAAAAATCTGACTCCGTAAAAGCAGACCCTTAACAAAAGAAGAAATTACATTTAGCAATTGGAAAAATAAATCCCTACATTGATAGTTTACTGCCTGGCCTTTCAGTTTCTATTTTCAGAGGTGTAAGCTACATCCGTTAAAACATAGATGGATGTCAGGTTTGTATGAATTTCCTCTCAGTTTCAATCTCAAATTCTTTATGTGCATTCCAAGTAGTGCATGAGACATTTGGCCTAAGGATTTGTGTTCTTTGGCATGGTTCATACCCCCGGTGAGTAAATAATGGGGTATAGTAACTGTTGGGTTACTTGTCAGAGGAGCTGGACTTGATGATTTGGCCACTAAGCCTATGGAATTCCAACAAATCTGAGGAAAAAAAAAAGAAACTCCAAAAACAGTTCCTAAAAATAATAACTCTATTCAGAATCATGGGTTAAAGTGTTACCCAGTTGCAGGATTAGTCTACCTGGACCAAAGTTCTTTCATTTGCTTGCATTGTCCTATACATGGTCAAAAGATTTTACCTACCTCAAGACGGGCATACCCTGTAAATAAATAAAATAAATTAAACATTATTGATCTCACATAGGAGAAATTTATCTCTGCATTTAACCCATCCCCTTGGGGAGCAGTGGGCTGGC